TGTACCCTGGGCTGATGCGGTAATCGGCTTACCTGCGTTCACCTGGATGCTCGAATAGGTTCTCCTCTCTTTTCCCCCTCATCCATCCAGCCCTCGATGCATTGTTGCGCCTGACGTTAATTGTCGGTCGGAATTCACTCTGTTTCTGGATGCGCCATTTCGGTGTGTAGCAGCCCCATGTTGCTTCACTCAGCGAAGGAGAGGTTACTGCTCTTCTGGATGCCGTTATTTTTTCAAGTTTTTCTTACAGCAGCAACATTTGACTCAGTCTCGACAGCACCCGGGATGGGGTTGAGAACGAAGGTTTCAAAAGACCCGCAGTTTATCGGTATCTGCCTCTTAATTCGTGCAAGAGTATCTGGTGCTTACCCCAGTGTTTTATGGTCCTTTATGAACGCAAGTATCCGGCGGAGTGTTCGACCCCACTCTGACGAAAGAACTGCCGGAGAGGAAACATGAAAAAGACTGAAACTCGAGCAAAGAAGATACCTTTCCGGGCAAATTGGCCTGGCAGGAGTTCCACGAGTGCTTCGAAAAAGCACGACCGGTGCTGGTTTCAGTGAATCAAGCAGAGTCTGAAGAAATGCAAGAGAGAACTGTTGCTGTACCATCGAACAGTGGAGCTGTCCACAGGTGCTGCATTTGGATTTTCCCGCCAAAACTGTCACTGCACGTACTTCTTCAGCAATATGCCCGTCCTTTTTTTAGAAAATATATTTCTTTTTAACATTTTTTGCATTTTTTTACCTCGTTCCCGTTTTGCATATTGCTGTCCTCCTCCATCATTTCCTTGCTGCAGCAGACGGACGACAAATCAGACAGCTCGTCCTTGGCCGAAGTGGAACATTTTGCAAATGGTAACTGTAGAGACTGGGTGGCGCGTATCGCAGATGGATCGGTGCAGCAGCGATTGTCGTCGGGAGGCAGCGAACCAGTTCCCAGTGGCTGTGCTCGGCTCATTTCGGATTGCGCTTGCCACCTGTACAAGCTCGCTCATTCATCACCAACGGCCACATTCCAGACGAGCACTCCGTGCAGAGGAGCGTCGTCTGCTGCTCCCGAAGGCCAGGACTTAGCCAGTCGATGCAGTCATGCGAGAAGTCTGGATGCAGTGCAGTTGTTGCTCGGCTGCTACTGCTGCTGGACAAGGTCTGCTACAGCACACGGTCCTCCTTGCATAAACGGTCATCAGCATCTCTCACTTCGTTTTCCTTTCCTTTCCGATGCAACAAAATGTGAACAAGCAAACGGAGCTCCTGCCAAAAGCGAAACAGTTTTTCCTGGTTTTTGCGCAGTTTTGCCCGGCGAAAAGCTGTTTCTACAGTAGGAGCGACTGCAAACTCAACTGCTGCATGGGCATTACATTTCAGTGTTTTATTTATCCCAAATTTTATTTCGATACACTCATTTTATATATATATATTTTTTTCTTCGATCAGCTTAATTTTGGCTAATTCTTAGCTCATTTCATTTTATCTGATTTGACTTTCTTTTTATTTATCATTATTGATGGGCTTCCTGCTTTATCGAATTATAATAATGACAATTACAATAATTTATAGCTGTTTAATATAATAGATATATTTAATACTATAGTTTAAATCACATTCTTATGCATAAGATACAGGAGATGTGGAAGTTGTTTTCACAAACGTGGATGGACTTCGAATTTTTTTTTTTTTTTGTTTTAGCCTATGTGCTTTTGAATTTTAAATTTTCTAGCTTTCGTAGTTCTGGAGATAAAATACCGCAACAAGTGGACACACAAACGAGGCCTTGCAAAAATTTGCCTTAGCATTTGATTCAGAGTAAAAAGCGAATTAAAAAAGTGAGCTACAAAGATTAGCCGGAAGGGCGCTAATTGTCATAGGTTGCATTTCATTTCGGCCACATTCACTTGCCGTTTCCGAAATTTTTCTGTGAATTTGTAAAATAAACAACAACAGAGACCACTGGAACTTGCCAAAACGAGAAAACAATAGAAAATTGGGCCTTGTTCCCTTTCTCCGGAAAAATGTTGAAGTTGAAAATGAAGGCAAGCAAGAAAGGAGGAGGCATTGAATTCTCTTGGATCAAGAATCTGTTTCAGGAATAGCAAAAGTATTTCTCTAGAACTCAGTAGCTTTTTATGAATTTTGTGCTGCAACAGTAGCACAAGGCACTTGTCACAGCATCCTGCCTCTGTTCATATTTTTGCACGGGACTTTCAACTCAACAGTCAAAGAGCTAGGAAGCTGAAATTTTAGGAGGGTGTTTTCTGCCTGTGTGTGTGCTGTCGTAGGTTTAAATCCACCTTTCATGTGCATTTGGGTCATACGTAAGGGCAAGTAAAGGTTTTGGCAGGACATTTCAAATGGAAGTTCTGACGAGGGGTTTTCTAGCTTAGCAGCTAGACAAAATATCTAGAATTTTACAAGGATGAGACATGTCAGTGCGCGACACTGGTGCGTGAGCTTACGTTTCACATATATACACGCATTAGCGGATTTGGGGGGAGAGGGGGGAGGAAGCAAGGGGTCAGGTTGCTCGATACCCCCTATCGCCTCCAGGAGCCTTCGAGGAGGGGAGGGATGTAATGGGACGACTGAGGGGGAAGGGGTTGGTAACGGACCGTAAAGCGTAGTGACGAGCGGA